TTTCTGTTGCTGCGATCAAGCCTTTTGCTGCTGCATTTGTAGTTGTAGTGGCATCTCAGGTCTGATGTGGGAACTGAGACTTCATGGTAGCCGTATGGTTTAACCATCCAGTGAGCAGACAGACTCTGAGCTGGAAAGCTTTCCTAACACTGGCAGGAAGGATGCAACAGGTGAATACAGAAAACAAGTCTGGGTGAATGTTAAATAATAATAGCGGGTAGCTAGATCAGGGTAACACGCGTATGAAACACATACTGGATGAAAAGCGATCTTGTGTAAGTGAATTTTGGCATGGAAGTTTTCAAATACGCAAAGGAATCTCAAACGACAGGTGATAAACCTGCCTAGTGAATCTTGAAAGCATTTTTATCTTTGCAGATGCCAAAAAAAAATAAAATTGAGTATTTGTCCAAAAAATCATTCAGGATGCCCAGCTACCCATGATGACTTCACCAGTGTGGGTTTTACTCCTGAGAATAAATTAGCTGATAACCAAACAGACCGAGTACGGGCATTTCAGTGTGCTTTGTGAATTTTTGCTGTGAAGCCTTTCTGTGCGGGCTGCACAGGCTTAGAGAAGAGTGACTGCCAAGACAGAGCTTTAGCTGGGAGGTTTCAGAACAAAAACATGGAGCCAACCTTTGGGTTTGGCTTTGGTTCTGTGGTGGGGTTGTTTTTTTCTCCCAAATGTAGGAATTAGATGTTGCAAATGCACTAGGATTAGAATAGGAATACAACGGAGAAGGAGAACACGGGTCTTCACTTTTCTTGGAAATACGGGCTACAAACTTCAGCTTCTGCCTCAGCTGGTTCCTGGTTACTGCCTCGATGGGAATGATAAAAATGCAAAATCAGTACAGTGGATCTTCTTATGGCAAGAGATGAAACTAATGGCTTAAATTTATGGCTGATGTAATTTCACTGAAGTCAGTAGATTTACACTACAGAGTCTAACCATATGTTTGGGCTTTTTTATACACGATAAAGTTGAATGATGCTGACGATACTGTGACAGCTGTGATGTCTTGTTTCAACTCCAAAATGCCTCAAAACTTTCCACTGTATAATAATCCAGAGGGGATAAGTGCGGTAACAGTGAAGTTGCACATTTGATGCTCCAGTCTGTATATTGGATTTACAAGAATAACATCATGGAATTTGTCAGAAAAATACTTTCCTTTAAGTACTTTGCATACAAGTAAGATGTGAGCTAAGCAAAAAAACCCCATGTCTGAATTCAAACTGCAAAGTTCAAAAAAAGAGAATGATGGTACCAGTGTAACCCATGTGAGATGTAGCTAATAACAAGAAGTGACAAAAAAGAGATAATTTTCTTAATACACTGACTGCCAGCAAGGGTGCTGAGCTCTTGCTGATCTACCATGCTTTACGTGAACTTCTGGGCATAAGTTGACAAAAGCAGAGGTTAAAATTCTCTGCATTGGATAAGGTCTTATCTTTACGTTGCTTGGGAAAACAACAACGGATTTTGGGGGGCATTTGGGACTCTGTTCAAACACCACTGAAATCAAAGGGCTCTTTCCACTGGTTTTGGATTAGAAAATAAACTGATGGGGTGAGGAAGGATCGTCTTTGAAGGACTCTGGAGATGTTAATTCAGCTCTTGGCTGTGCCAGAGGTTCCCAGGGTGATCTTGGGAAGACTGCCTCATCTGCCTCTGGAAGTTTTCCACTTGTGTAGCCAAATGATACTGCTGCCTTTCTACCACCTTTTGCCTGTCCTTGGAAACTGTTTGTGTACGATCCATCTCAGACTCGTGTTTGTACAGCATCTATCACACTGTGATCCCAGCCGAGGTAAAATTAGAAAGAAGGACATCGGAATGAATGGAATAAGAGATTTGGTGGGAAGAATGTTAATTATGAAATATTATTTCAAACATGAGCAGTTCAACTAGCAAAATGTTAGAATATTTTGTACTGCACTAGCACTCTTCATTTTAAATCCTTAAGTCAGATTGGTCTCACTTTCTGTGCTGGAGTTAAAAACCAAGAGACGTATCAACAAGAACATAGCTTTAATGAATTCTTCCTTAAAATTTCACCAAGTTAAAAATGTCCACTAGAGGATTAGGGAATTTGAACTTTTGGCTTAGTTGTGATCACACAAATACTTTTTTATAATCCATTATAAACAATTATCCATGTCTTACGTTACAATCTTGGAGGTGAAAAAGAAGACTGGGATTTCATATTTTGGTGTGAACCTGAAACATGCAGTTTCTGAAGATACAAGACTAGATTTTTCTGCTGAATCCACTGCTATAAATATGAATGACACTTCTAAAACCAAAAAACATTATGGCTGCAACTTAAAGATAAAACAGGGTCAAGGTTTAGTGAAAGAGAAAATTCATTATATATTCAATGAAACAACAACAAAACGGGAGCATCAAGAACATCAGCGGGGCTTTCCAGAATTTATTTTGGTGTTTGTGTGAAATTGTGCAGACAAAACACCATGGAAAATCCTAGATATGTTGCATTCTTTGACCATACTGCAATCATATAGCTGAAAGCCATTCAAAGAAGTAGGTATAACCAAAATTATAAATCCCCCGTCAGTTCTCCCTGGACTGGATTGTAGCCAGCATCTCTTGGAACTAGCTCAGGCTTTTGGGAAGGTGAAAGGTGGGGTGATTTTCAACCTAACTAGACTCAGATATCTCACCTACTGTCCCTGCCTCAAAGTTGGCACAACCACAGCAAAGCTCCATTGAGCTACTTCATACCAGCACTGGAGCGGTGGTAAGCAGCACAAGAGCCCACCACAAAACAAGCCCTCCTTGTTTGGAATAAAAAGGCAGCAGGTTGTGACTGCTCCTTTCCACTGAGGTACCCAAAGGATGAGTCTGGCACCGTCCTCCATCCTTTTGACAGGAACAAGCTCGCTCTCCATCTTGTCAGTAGCATTACATTCGGCATCTCCAGGGCTTGATTCAATAGCAGGATCCCGAAAGGCTTCCCATTTGCTGTTGCTGCCACATATTATCCACCGAATCAAAATCCTTAACCTCCTTCAAACAGCTTTCTGTGAGATGAGTCAGTAATTAACAATAGCAGTACCAGCAAGCCTGGGAGATTGTTTCTAACAAGCAGGCACATTTTAAAGGAACAGTGAAATTTTTGGGGGGCTATTTGAAGAGATTCTGCCTCTTCATTAGAATATCAGAAATAACATTCTTATTTCTGCATCTCTCACCATTCTCCCCTTAGTTTCACCAGCCTAATTGGGATAGGAGCTCTTGTTCCCCTCTAAATTTGCTAGCCATGCGTCCCATAGACACATTGCCTTTCATAATAAATCATGAGCAATAGGGATCCAAATGTGCTTAATGTCTGTAATCACCCAAGGCAGATTTGCAAATGAAACCTTTGTTTATTATGGCAACTGATCAGGAAAATCTTCTTTCAAGATAATAACGTTAACTCCGAAAGAGCAGAGGCACAATAAATCAAAATCTTTGGCAATACAAAGGGAAAAAAGCGGTTAGCATGCTTGGACAAAAGGTACAAGCCCAGGTGGGTAACTATTGCACCTAACATGATACAAAGCCAGTCTTTCCTGGGAGTAAAATGATGTTTGGCAAGATAGCAACTGAGTAAAAAGCTAACATTTTTCTAACTTTAATGGCAAAGAATACAAAGGGTCAGATCCATCATGCCTTTGTTAAACCAAGTCCATAGAGACTTTCCTTGACACAACCAGATCTATCAAAAGAGGAAGAAAACACATTTAGCAGCCAGTAGTAACAGATTCTTGTCAGGTTCCCCAAAATTACTTTGAAAATATCTTTTCTTCAATGCTAGACTTGTCCCTGGCTATTAAACGTCTGCGCAGTTGTAGAATACATGAAAGATTACTTGGTGATAAAACTCAGAATAAAATAAAAGGTTTTCTAGTGCAGGCTGATAACGCATGTACACACCTAGTAAAATAGATCCCCTTCTAATGGTCTTGTAAGACAGCAGGAAAGAGACTCTTTCTGTATCATCACAGCAGTCTGTAGAGGCGTCAGCTGTCGGGTGGACACCTATTATACCAGCCATGTCATAAAAAACGGTCGCTGGCCTAAAATATTTGCAGACGAAAGCCTAGTCCTACAAAGATTCTCATAATGTGCAAATATTCAGGCAGAACTCAATAGGGTTGCATAAAATACCTTTGTTAATTATGTGCCTGAGTGGTTGCAGATCAGGAGCATATATGGTATAGATATCGATAAGCAGAACATCAGTTTTCTCTAGAATCTCAAAACTAGAATCATAGAATGGTTTAGGTTGGAAGGGACCTTAAAGCTCATCTAGTTCCAACCCCCCTGCCCTGGGCAGGGACACCTCCCACCAGCCCAGGTTGCTCCAAGCCCTGTCCAACCTGGCCTTGAACACCTCCAGGGATGGGGCAGCCACAGCTTCTCGGAGCAACCTGCGCCAGGGGATCACCACCCTCAGAGTCAAGAATTTCTTCCTGATACCTAATCTAAATCTCTCCTCTTGAAGTTTGAAGCCATAACCCCTCATCCTATCACTTCATTCCCTTGTAAGAAGTCTCCCTCCAGCTTTCTCATAGGCCCCCTTCAGATACTGGAAGGCCACTATAAAGTCTCCGCAGAGCCTTCTCTTCTCCCAGCCGAACACCCCCAACTCTCTCAGCCTGCCTTCACAGGAGAGGTGCTCCAGCCCTCGGATCATCTTTGTGTACCTCCTCTGTATTAGTATTAGTACTAGCAAGTATTCAAAAGAACTACTAGGGTGGAATATCTAAGAAAGGTAAAATACATACAACTGAAATAAAATCACCTACCCAATAGAAGTGCAGTGACAACTACATGGAGTGAGAAATATTCAGAAAGAAGGGTTACAAACCTGTCACCCACCTTGCTAGTGGAAAAAAAAAGATGTTATGGGAAGAGAAGGGGCTTGTGGTGATGTTCTGGATTAGCACAGAGGGACTAGGAGCCACGTTGCTGGGAATACGGAATGGCCTGCCTGCCTATCAGCCATCCAAAGCGGCTGCCCTCGAAGGCGGTAGGTACCTGTGAGGGTGTGAGCTCCCAGAAGATGGTTGGTTGGTGTTCCCACCAGGTCCTGGCTGTGGGAAGCTGAGAAGAAATCAACTCTATGTATGGTATTCCCTTGAGGTCCTTCCTTAGAGGGTAAAAGCTTTTGAAGAGGGATGGTGGGAGGACTAAAAGATATTTCTGGCACATCTCTGACTGACAAACGAAACCGCTAGAAGGCAACCTCATCTCCTGACAATGTAGTGACAGCGATCAGTAGAAATATGCAGCACTGCTGGTCCAAACCTACCATCCCCACCTGAGGCCATCCTTCCCCGAAATTCTGTGGGCATAGGGCTGCAGGTCTGAGCTTCCCAAACACGCTGCAAAATTGTCCCCTGAGTGGACACCCCGTGTGTCGCTGAAGAGCAGCTGAAGGAGCTGATAAAGTTACTTAACAACAGAGCTGGAAACACAAGGTATCAACCCAGCTAGCGAAGCTCAGGCAGATGTTGCCGAGTGCTTTCTCTGCAGCTTAATGATAATGAGGAGACAGCTATCCCTCCTCCCATATGCCCTGGCATCTCAAAAAGAGCGAGCGAAGGAGGAGGAAAGGGAAAGGCTGTGTGGTCAGCGGGTGGGGTGAGACCACCACCTCTCACGCATCCTTATCGGCCTCCACAGAGACACAAACACTCCTTTCACGAGGGTGTGTAAAATAGGCTTCAAAGTGATAGCAACGGAACCAACCGAGAAATGGCCACTAAAAAGAATTGAAAACAAAAACTTGGGGTTTTTTTTCTGCTCTCTTTTTTTTCTCTAAACCCATCCTGAAGGCAGAACTGGCAGCCCATGGCCCTGCATAATGAAACGTCCATGTTAAGCAAGTCACTTTTGAGTGTCCCTTTCTCTTATTTTTGGGAAAGGACACCCCTGTACACCCTTCCGTCAAACGTCACAGTATGTGTCACATATCTATTTCACACTGACAGTGAAAAAGGGAAGTGTACAAAATGTACTAAGCTCTGAGAAACCCCAATACTTGCTCTGCAAGTTGCTGATCGTCCTCATCTCTGTTGCAGTGAGAGCTGCAGGGGCTTAGCATCCCCCACTGAAGGCACACACAGATATACTAAAGTAGGGGTTCACAGGAGGGAAGGGGTTCTTGGAGCTCTGAAAGTGAAAATATTATGGGCAGGGGAAGAGAGGGAGAGAGAGGAGGGGAAAGTAAAAATGAAAGGAGGTGAAGGGAGCTAGTAGAGAGAATAGAGAGAAAAGCTGAGGAATGAGATGCTATGTATGATTAAGGTGAAAAATGTAGCTGGAACACAATGAAAAGAAACCACGTGGTTTACTGTCACAGAAGTAATTGAGTGCATCTGTTTTTATAATCAACCGTGTTTATAGGAACAATACACAGAAGGACTTTAAAACTCAAATCATAAATACTTCGTGCTTCCCCCCTCCCCCCCCCATAAAAGAGATGTGAATAATAATGAACAACAGGAGAAGTCACAGTAAAGTCAAAGTCACGGTCCCATCTGCCCTCTGCATAGTACAAAAGTAAGCTGACATTTCATGACATTGCAAGAAAAAAATTTTTTTTAATGGCCAAAGATTTTATTTTCTACCCAATGAACAGTTGATCTATGTAACTTGTTGCCATGATGTTTAAAACTTGGTACACACAAAGATTTCAGACTGGATCTGACAATACTTGTAGAAATAATAAATGCATTCCCATACACACCCGCTGAAAAAAAAAAAAAAAGTCCTATTTTTTTTAACTGTTTGGTTACTAACAGACAGACATTAAGAGGGAAGTGTCCTGGTGGTTGGTTTTTTTCATTCCACAGTTGCCCCCTAAACTGTTGAGTACTCTTTCCACCCAGACTGTCGTTATTCACAGGGAAGGGGTCCATGAGGATGAAATCTGAAAGGCTACCATAGTATGATTCTTCCATTTTTAAAGAAGTGAGTGTAACAGACATCGCTTCAAGAATTAAGCCATACTTTCTTGTACAGTGGTCTCGTTATATCTCATGTGTTAAAGTAAGATCAGTACTTGCTGAAGACCCGCAAGAAACACCTGTTAATGGCAACGATGCTGTTACTGTGAGTTGGTAGAAATGGGTTGGGTGTTAAGCGTGAAGGATCAAACACAGCATTGGCATGGTGAACATCTTTGTACACGAATGATTTAATGACACTTCGCAAGAACAGACTTGTCAACTTGTAAGGCAGTGCTGAAATCAGTATTTAGCCAGGATCATAAGAATAACCAGAGCAGTGAATCAGTTAAAAATGAGAAAGGTTGTGGAGCGTGTACAAAAATACAAACAGTTGTGGGAGCGAGAGAGACTACCAGGTGACTAGCTGAAGGCAATAGTTGTCCCAGTCCTGGCAAAAGGAGATCCTGCTGATCAAAATAATTATGGAGGTGAAAGCTTATTGTCAGTACAGAGAAAAATTTGGATGAAGGTAATAGTCAACAGATCAAAGCTGGTTTTACAGAGAGTAGTGAGAGAAAAACAGTGTGGCTGCAGATCAGGATGAAGTTGCATTAATCAGATATGCAGATTTTTACAGTTGATGGGGAAAAAAAAAAAAAGGAAGAATGGAGTTTGAAAGTGCTTGTTATTTCCTTGATGTTATGAAGGCATTTTATTTGGAAGGAGCCATTACAGAACGCAGCAAAACTGATACAACATTCAGATAAGCACGTTGGCAGTACAAATGCTGGGAACTCCTGCAGTGCTATAGGAACTGGCAGAAAATTAAGCACCTGGTTCAGACCAACTCTGGTATGAAACAAAGGACTAGGAATTTGCCAGCGCTTTCATCACGCATTTCAAATGGACATTAGGATAGTAAATGAGTTGAACCATTTGACGACGGAAGATCTAAATTTCACATTATGCAAATGACATTGCATAATTGTCAGACAAATGAGGTAAAGTTGATTCACTCTGCTAATTGACAAAATTGCTGGAGTCATCTTGCGTTTTAAAATCCATCGATATGAGAAAGCGTTTCTGTCATGGAATGAATAGGCATTTTTTTATCTATGCCTAGGGAGTTTAATTGGTGCTAAGGAAAAGGAGGAAAAAGTAAAAAGATGTGCTTAGCAAAAAGCTGAAAACATGAAAGCAGAAAGACATGTACTGAAAGACAGCACTAATGGTCTATAGGCCAGAAGCGGCTGCATTAAATAAGAGAGATCTGACCGCTGCTGATGCAGGAGCTCCTCCAAAGGCAGTGGGCATTACGCAGCATAAGAATGATGGAGAAATTAGGAGCAGGCAAGGATGCCAAATCAAGGTTTGGGACCAACTACGGTGGAAAAACGTGATGATGATGAGGGATCCTGGAGAAGGGAACTGGATGAGAGAACGCCGAAGACATTCCTGCATGCACACGGCTAAGGGCTCAACCGACCCCCAGCCCCACGGCCAGACCTTTCCGACGGGAACAGGATTGAAATGGATTTGACGAAGGCATAAGCTCTAGACAAGGGTGTTATATGACTCCTGAGCCTGCAAAAAAAATGAGCCAGGAAAGAAGATATATTACAGTCTCTGCCTTGGCCAAATTCCAACTCAGTTAATTACAATCTGCCTTTTAAAATTCCCCCTGAAGTTTCAGCTAGATAATATATTCTTCCATGCATGTCCTGTGAGGCCGAGACGTGTCGCAGCCCACCACTGAGCGACCGTTTGCAGATAGCACGATTTCTGTGTGCAACGCTTATGTTAGGTGAAGTTTGTGAAGGCCTTGGGACCCTTGAAAATGAGAAGTGCTTGGCAGAACGAAGATGATGAAACCATAGAAAAACAGCGGCAGTCACTTTGCTATAAATCTTCCTGATGTGCGTTTTTTTCTGTAAATGTGCTCGTAAAACCTCACTTCTGCCTTCTAGTGGATAAAAGATAGCAGAGCATTTTGCAGCAGAAAAAGAAAAGAGAGCTACTGAAAGGAAAATTAGCTTAGGTTTCCTCAACATCATTATTAACAAGCCCTGAAGATCAGACTCAAGCAAAAATCTTGTCATTTTTACTCATAGCAATGACTGTTGCATTCACTTCTCACCCTGACTTCCATTGATTGTAATGGTACGAAGTCCAATTTTAGTATGAACGTGGAAGGCCAAGGATACTGAAATGTTCAATATGGGGCTGATTTTGATTACAACAGGTTCTGTTGTCTGCACTTCTGGTTCTACTGCAAATAACTCTGCCACTAATACGGAGGACAGGAAAAAACCTACCCTTTCTTTCCTGCCAGAAGACCTTGTCAGAAGGTGGTTTTCAGGCTAGCAGAAGCAGCAGTGCATATAAAATGCAGACTGCCACAAAATTTTTCTTTATATAAGCAATCGCTTCTCAGTTCTGTTTCCAAATAAGCCCAGTATCTACCACAATCACTGCTGTTCTAGAAATCTGAAAATTAGGTTAATGATATATTAGCCTCAAAATCGATGAGTGCTAATGTAAAGACTTGATGTAAGCTTAATGAACAGGTCCCCAAATCTATACATTTCTGTACACTCGAAATTACAAATTAACCCAATGGTTCCTGGATGAGCAATGCAAGGGGAACGCTAGTTAATACTTGCTGGAATTATTATCAGACAAAAGGCTTTCATTATTTTTTTCTGATACACCTACACATTTTTTCATGTAGGAGAATAAAGAAAGCAACGGACCCACTAGTCCAGTTAGATGTTTCTTCCATTTCTAGGAAGGAAGAGCCCCTGGCAACCACACAGGCTAGGACCAACTGGCTGGGGAGCAACTCTGCTGAAAAGCACCTGAGTCACTTGGTGGACAGAGAGCTGAACATGGGCTTACAGCGTTCCTGGCAGCAAAAATGACCAACAACATCCTGGGCTCTATGAATAGGAGCACAGGTTGCCCAAGAGGTTGGGCAGTGTCCAACCTTGGAGGTTTGGGAGAAAGGACTAAAGACCTCCAAAGGTCCCTTTCAACCTGAACTATTCTGTGATTCTTTGATTCTCTGATTTCAGGT